TTTTAAAGTAGGTCTACCTATAAAACAGAACATCACAAATGCACTCAATAAGGACTTTTTTTTAAAGTTGTGTTTTAAAGTAGGTCTACCTATAAAACAGAACATCACAAATGCACTCAATAAGGACTTTTTTTTAAAGTTGTGTTTTAAAGTAGGTCTACCTATAAAACAGAACATCACAAATGCACTCAATAAGGACTTTTTTTTAAAGTTGTGTTTTAAAGTAGGTCTACCTATAAAACAGAACATCACAAATGCACTCAATAAGGACTTTTTTTTTAAAGTTGTGGGTTAAGCAGTTGTGCCACGTTAATTCATGGATGGCACACCAGCAGGAAATCCTGTGTTTGTTTGCTAGATATGGAAGTATTCACAAAATTCCTGAAGACAGCACTGGCAGATCAGTTCCAAATTGTTGCCAAGAAAAGAACATGCCCATAAAATTACAAAGACTCAACCCTAACACAGAGGAGACTAAAAAAAATCTCCCAACACATAGAAAAATGCAGGGACCAGTTTTAAAGCATGTGCCACCAGTGGAATACAATCTGGGGAGGGAAGGAATATGTAGCAGCTGACATGTTTCAGCCTCGTTGCTTCTCTGCTTTACACCTGGGGTAACCCAAGCATCCAGTGGTGAAATTCAATTTTTTCCCTATTGGTTCTCTGGGTGTGGCTTGGTTGGCATGGCTTGGTGGGGAATCTAGGGTAAAGCCGTAGCCGGGGAATGGTGCATTCCCCAACCTGGTCAAGGTGGGCAGCGGCTTTGGGGCCTCGGGAAATGGCTCGTCCCTAGGCCCCGGGCCCTGACCGAAGGTGAAGGATGAGTGGACAGCATGCCTTGCTTACCTTTGGTGAGTTGAGCAGGTGAGGTGACTGACGAGACGATTAGCTGGGCAAAGGCAACATATAGAAGGCAACACATATAGAGTGGGCGGGGTGAGCAGCCAGAAGGGGTGAGTGGCCAGAAGAGGTGAGCAGTGAGCAGCCAGAAAAGGCAAGTGAGTGGCCAGAAGGGGTAAGAGGCAAACAAGTGGATGTGGGCATGGGTGGGGCCAACCAGGGTGGTTTTTACCGGTTCAGCGAACTGATTCAAATTGTCACAACCGGTGTGCCCGAACCGATCTAAACCGGTTGAATTTCAGCCCTGCAAACATCTGTATTTGCTTCTGCACTCTCCTTCACCTTTCAGCTGCTGCTTCTACCCTGGGAAGACCAGGAGGCCTAGCAACCTACCTCAATGAAGCTGCGAGGCTTGATTCCCCATCCGCCTGCCTATGACAACTCGAGAGCAAGTCAGGAGTGCTTTGCAAGTTGGCATTCGGCTTCCCTTACTTCCCGAAGGCAAATTCATCTCCAGGCTTTTCAAAAACTCATGGGGACCTCAACTTTGACGATGTCTGTTGACCCTGATTCATAATTTGGAGAGTCATCAGGGAAGTCAGACAGATCCTCTGTAATGGTATGATTTTCAAAATCCTACAAACCCACTGGCACAACCAATGGCTGCTTTAGAGATTGTAAAGTTAAAAGTAAAACTATAGTTTAGTTGTCCAGTTTGAAATGTCCTAACTCTTCTCTCAGACTGGCAGCGATGGAGAAGACCAGGGGTGAAATTCAGTCGGTTCGGACCGGTTCAGGTGAACCGGATGTTAATTTTACGCCCGGTTCAGCGAACTGGTAGTTCCAACGATTATCTCGCCCCTCCCCTCCCCTCCCAAGAGTCCCAACACGACCCATTTTGGATCCCAGTTAAGTGCAGGGGTCCCTTGGAGTCCATGGAGGTGGAAAATGGGCCTATTTCCAGCCTCCAGAGCCCGTGGAGGTGGGAAATGGGCCTCCCAGAGGAGTAGATATTCAATTAGAAAAAAAT